CCCGGGGCGGGAGGCAAACCCCCCCGCCAGCCGCTCGCTCACCCTGCGCCCGGCCGGAGACGGGGAAAGAGACGCGTGGGGCAGGATCGGAACAATTTCATTTGTAAATTGAAATGCAATTAAATCAAAAAAAATGAGAAAAAATGAGAAAAAAACTGAAAAATTAGAAAAAAAATAGAAAAAAAGAAAAATTAGAAAAATTAGAAAAGAAAAAATGAGAAAATATTATTAAAAATGAGAAAAATTAGAAAATATGAGAAAAATTAGAAAAAATAGAAAAAATAGAAAATTAGAAAAAGAAAAAATTAGAAAAATTAGAAAAAGTAGAAAAAATGAGAAAAAGTAGAAAAAAATAGAAAAATGAGAAAAAATTAGAAAAAATGAGAAAAATGAGAAAAAATTAGAAAAATGAGAAAAATTAGAAAAAACTAGAAAAAATTAGAAATAGAAAAAAATAGAAAAAATTAGAAAAATTAGAAAAATTTCTCCCGTTGGCGTATAACCCGAAAAGCCAAGAGGGTTTTGTGATTTTCATCCAGGTGGCAGCCGGGGCCGTTGGGTTGGCGAGACGAGCTCTGGACGAAGCGACGAAATACGCACTGGAGAGAAAAACGTTTGGGAAACCGATCGCGGAAGTATGTCAAAAAAAAAAAAAAATCAAGAAATTGCTCCAAAGGTTTTCGTCCCAGATTTCCTCCCGGGGAATTTTCAAGGTTGTTTCTTGATTTTCAGAATTTACAATTTTCCAAGGTTTTGTTTTAAATATTTTCAAATTTTTTCAAAGTGTTTCAAAATGTTGTTTTAAATATTTTAGAACGTTTTCAAAATTTTTAGAATTTTAAGTATTTTCAAATTTTTTCAAATATTTTTGAATTTTTCCAGAATCTTTCAGAATTTTATTTTAAGTATTTTCATTTTTTTTCAAATATTTTCAAATTTTTCCAGAATCTTTGCGAATTTGAAGCATTTTTCAATTTTTTTCAAAGATTTTCACATTTCTCCCTATTTTTTCCAAATTTTAACTTTGGAAATTTTCCCACATTGTGGGGAATACTTGAGAATTTTCATTTCAATTTCCAGTTGAAGAATTTAAACGCATCACGAATGACGGGTGGGTTGGGTGGAAGAAGCCGAGATTTTTCCCGAATTCCCCCCCGTGGGCTCCTCTAACCTCGCCTCCCCGTCGCCGGCAGCACCAGGCGGTGGCGTTCATGCTGGCGGAGATGGCGATGAAGGTGGAGCTGGCGCGACTGGCGTACCAACGGGCCGCCTGGGAGGTGGACGCCGGCCGCAGGAACACTTTCTACGCCTCCGTGGCCAAAGCTTTCGCCGGCGATGTCGCCAACCAAGTGGCCGCCGACGCCGTGCAGATTTTCGGAGGGAACGGTTTCAATACGGAATATCCCGTGGAAAAACTCATGAGAGACGCCAAAATCTACCAGGTGGGCGAAGGTTGCGCCGTTTCGTGGCCCTCGCTCCCGGCTGCGGGTCGGTGTCGTGGTTCGAGCCCGGGGCGCGGAGGCAAAAGAGCCCCAGAGCCGCTCGCTCACCCTGCGGCCGTCCGGGGCGGGGAGACGGGGAGAGAGACGCGGGGGGCGGGATCGGAGCAATTGAATCATTAAACTAAAAAATGGGAAGTAATAATGACGATGAAATGACACCGGAAAACTCAGAATTTCCTCGGAAAACCCAGAATTTCCCCAGAAAACCCTTAATGACCCTGGAAAACCCAGAGTGATCCTGGAAAACCCAAAATTTCCCCAGAAAACCCATAATTAACCCGGAATTATCCAGGAAAATCCAGAATTTCCCCAGAAAAGACAGAATTTCTCTGGAAAATGTGGGATTATCCTGGAAAACCCATAATTAACCCGGAAAACCCAGAATTAACCCGGAAAATCCAGAATTTCCCCGGAAAACCTGGAATTTCCCCGGAAAATCTGCAGTTTCCACAGAAAACCTGGAATTTCCCTGGAAAACATGGAATTATCCTGGAAAACCCATAATTACTCCGGAAAACCTGGAATTTCCCCAGAAAACCCGGAATTTTCCCTTAAAACCCCATAATTTCCCTGGAAAACGCGGAATTTCTCTGGAAAACCCATAATTTCCCTGGAAAACCCGTAATTATCCTGGAATACCCAGAATTTCTGTGTAAAACCGGGAATTATTCCGGAAAACCCGGAATTTCCCCAGAAAACATGTAATTATCCTGAAAAACCTGGAATTTTCCTGGAAAACCCAGAATTTTCCTGGAAAATCCGGAATTTCCCCGGAAAACCCAGAATTTCCCCGGAAAATCTGGAATTTCCCTGGAAAACCCGGAATTATCGTGGAAAATCCAGAATTTCCCGAGAAAAAACAGAATTTCCCCAGAAAACCCGGAATTTCCCCAGAAAACCCAAAATTACTCCGGAAAACCCGGAATTTCCCTGGAAAACCAAGTTTTTCAATTTTTTTCATAATTTTTTCCCAATATTTCAGTTTTTCAGAATTTTTCAAAATTTCATTTTAAATATTTTTTTATTTTCTTTCAAAATCTTTCAAAATTTTATCTCGTCAAATTTTTTTGGAAATTTTTCAAGATTGTTCTATTTTAGAAGTTTTTCCAAATTTTTTCAATTTGAGAATTTCTCCAAAGTTTTTCAAGATTTTGTTTTACATATTAGAGAAATTTTATTTAAATTCTCTTCAGATTTTTTCTAAATTTTCCAAAACTTTGTTTTAAATATTTGAGAATTTTTTCAAAAATTTTTCCAAGTGTTGTTTTCAAAATTTTAGTTCTTCAAAATTTTCCAAAACGTTGTTTTAAATATTTTAGAATTTTTCCCAACATTTTTCAAATTTTTCTTTCAAATATTTAATTTTTTTTTCAAAATTTTCCAAAACTGTTTTAAATTTTTCTGAGTTTTTTCAAAATTTTTCAAGATTATTTTTTTAAAAACTTTAAAAAACTAAAATACTGAAAACAAGATTTGGAAAAATTTTGAAAAAATTCTCAAATATGAAAAACAAAATTTTCCCAAAGTTGTTCAAAATTTTCTTTTAAGTATTTTCATTTTTTCTCAAAATTTTCCAAACTTTTGTTTTCAATCTTGGAGAATTTTTTCAAAATGTTTCCACATGTTGTTTTTGTTTTAAATATTTCTGATTTTTTTCAAAATTTTTCAAAATGTTCTTTTAAATATTTTAGTTTTCCAAAAATTGTTCAAAATTTTCTTCAAAGTGTTTTCAAATTTTTTCAAAATTTTTCAAAAATTTCTTTTTGAATTATTTGAAAAATTTTCAAGATTGTTTTAATATATTTTAGTTCTTTCAAAATTTTTCAAAAATTGATTTTAAATATTATCAACTTTTCAAAATTTTCCAAAATTTTGTTTTAAATATTTGAGATTTTTTCAGAATTTGTCCAAATGTTATTTTCAGTACTTTCTCAAAATTTTCCAAAACTTGGTTTAAATATTTGATTTTTTCAAATTTTTTGAAAATTTTCTTTTAAATATTTTAGAAGTTTTCCCAAAATTTTTCAAAATTTTCTTTTAAGTCTTTTTTCAAAATTTTTCCAAATGTTGTTTTCAATATTTTGCTTTCTCAAAAGTTTCCAAAACTTTGTTTTAAATATTCAAGAATTTTCAAACTTTTCCCAGATTTTAAATATTTCAGAATTTTGAGAATTTTTTGAAATTTTGAAAAAAAATTGAAATTTTTTAATTTTACATTTTAAAATAATTTTTTAAAATTCCCCCCATTTTTTCTTTTTTTCCAGATCTATGAGGGCACGGCGCAGATCCAGCGGGTCATCATCGCCCGTGAGCACGTCGCCAAGTACAAGGCGTGAGGACGCCGCCGCCGAGGATTGGATTTTGACGCTTGGTTTTGCCAAAAATTCTGGAAAAAATCCCTAAAATCCCTTTTTTTTTCCCCCGGTTCCGCCGGGAAAAGAGGGAAACAGGTTGTTGGGAAAATTGGAAAAAAAAAAATTAAAAAAAGATGAAAATTTGGATTTTTTCGCTTTTTTTTCTCGCGCGTGACAGCGCAGAGCGAGATAGTCATTCCCAGTTCCCCCCAGTGCCTCCCAGTACACCCCAGTAACCGCTAGACTCCCCCAGTGCCCCCCAAACCCCCCCAGTAACTCCCAGTGACTCCCAGTAACCCACCCATGTCCCAGTGTACTGGGAGCACTGGGGTGTACTGGTCCCATACTGGGGGGG